ATGTTTGGTTCAAGTCATTTAAAATTATTTAGGTAATCTGAATCCGGTAATGTTATTACCTTGTTTGGTTAAGTTATGAGATTACATGGTAATGTTATATTACCTGAAAGTTGATGTGGCGATAATGTTTCAAAGGTAATGTGAATATCCTGTTTTCTTAGGTAATTTTAAATTACCCTGAATTATTCCAACTTTGTCCTTGTTAATAACAATAATAATAATAATATAATAATAATAATAAATAAATAAATAAATAAATATATATATATATATATATATATATATATATATATATATAAAATTAAATATACATGTGTGTATATTTATATATATATAGTTTTTTTTTTAAAGGGTATAACTTTCATTCACACTTATTATGTTTTTAGATACTAATTTTTTTTACACGCTTTGCACGAATGAAATAATGCTCAATGATTATTTTTAAATAAGTATTTCAAAGTATATCAATATAATATTATATAGGTGATGTTTATGCATAGATAAATCATAAATAAATGTTGAATTTGTTTATTTAAATCGGTAATTTAAAATATATAAATTCAAGATAGTATATGAGAGATTGATTATAATTGTCACTGAAATAAATGTTTGCAACTTTGTAATAACGCTAATCTAAATACTTAGTTTTAAAGCGATAGTCGTTTAAATAAATACTACTTTTGGTTTAAATTTCTCTAATTCTTCTTAATTCTCTTTTGGGTAGCATTATCATTGTTTTCATCTTCAGTACATGTCATCTCTTTTTTTTTTTTTTTTTAATTGGTACTGTGTCATATGCAATTAGGTTACTGGTGGCAGCATAGAGGGATTCATCATGCAATGAGATTATTGTTAGGAAGCTTTAGATTTGTCTTGTTGTGAAATGACTGAGATTTTAGTTGTAATATGAACTCTTTATTTACAAACACCTATTGATATTTAGTAGTGATAGTTTTTCCCCTACATGTTTCATGTGTTGTGAGATGTGTGTCGTAGGTTATCATGTGAAAGTATTGAACAAAATATTAATATTTATTATATTTGTATAAAATACTTGGCAAATAAATAAATAAATAAATATATATATATATATATATATATATATATATATATATATAACATATTTTGTATTATAATTTTGATATTTAATTACAAGATAATGTAAAAAGAAGACAATGGACAATGTAGTGAATATAATAAAATAATAAATTTGAAGGTAAGAAATCTTTGAATTGTAAAAAAATAAAGATAATATAACTAATGAAATTATATTTCTTTTATTTTTTTATAATGAATAATTTTTTTTAAATAAAGCATTATAGACATCTAATTTTAAATTTTTTTTGAATGCATCTAATTTTAAATTAATTAAATGCATATGTATTATTTTTGTTGTAGCTACTGATTTATTTTTTTAATTTAATAAGAGTAATAAAGTGTCGTACATACTTTTCATCAACAATAATGAAATCAATGATTTTTAAAAAATTTCATTCCTTGTTGAGACAAATTGTTTTGTGAGTTTGTCAATGACAATTGCTACAATTGCTGTCAATAGAGGATCATAATAAATAATTCAAAATATATGGTTACAATAGTTATTGTTATAATGATATCGTAAAAATTAACTTACAAATTTCTTTAGATGTTTTCATGCATTGATAAAATTCTGATGTGTAAACTTGTTCAATTGGAGCTAGTAGGATGTTAACATTGTCAATTATTTGGAAAATGGTCCTTACGTTTTAGAGTCCATATGTAATTGTATTTATGATCAACAACTTTGTAGTTAGGCCGAGCATGTCTGACAATGATGTAAGAACAATTTTGTCCGATTAAAAAAATAATAGTATAATATTTGTAAAGTAATGTACAATTGTACCATTATAAAAAAAATATAAAAAATATTAATACCATAATGACATAAATCATTCCAATAATGCAAAAGCATAATTGAATATTAAGTTTTGTTATAAATAATCAAAAGAAGATTAATTAAACATTAAAAAAAAAAAAAAGCTTAACATAATTTAAAAAAAAAAAATTCAAGAAAATCAAATGATTTTTAATGTTCTTGATTTATAATCTTTGATGCTTAACTTTGAATGTTATGTATTTAGTCGGACTAATTATTTGACCAAAGTTTATGTTAAAATTTATATTATAAATTTTTTTAGAGTTAAACTCACTTTTGGTCCTACGTTTATTGCGCATTGGACACATTTTGTCCGTTTTTATTAATTTTGCCACATTTTGTCCAAACTTAATAAAAGTTGGACACTTTTAATCCACCGTTACGTTTGGCGTTAAGCATCTGTGAAATAGAAGGACAATTTTGTCCTTTCATGTCAATTCTTCATTGGTATTACCCCATATTGGCTGAGTTACAGTATTGTCTTCATCAATATTTCTTCGTTGAAACAAAACAGCAAACACATAAAATGCAGATTCATTCTTCATCTACTCCAAGATCACCAGCAAATCGAGTCCACAAAAATCCTTTGCATTCAGCCGAAATGAAGCATTATATAACATATTGAGCAACAGAAATGCATATATCGATGAATTAACAAAGAGAGTAACGATCCAAATTTAAAGAATTTTTAAAAAAATTTTGAATTTATGTTTGGGTTACAGAAGCAATACCTCGACGACCTGTTTGTAGCGCTGGAGCTTCCTTACTACGCGGTTGAGCTTGTATTTGTGGACGGCGTGGCCCTCTTCCTTCCACTCCCGTATAGTAATGACTGCACTACGCTTAGCGTACACGAGACTTAGAAGCCTCCACCCAGAGTGTCTCTGCCGCCCTTACTCGTGGTTGTGGGACTTCCGCTGTCGCCTCCTGCAGTCGTGGGCTTCGTCGCAGCCGCCGAGAAGTGGCACACGACGGCGACGGATGTCCGAGCCAAATGTAGAAGCATTTTCATCTTTTTTCATTGGCCTGTTTCTGAGAAGGGCAGCACATTTGGGCTTGGATTATGAACACTGAAATGTTCCTGGGCTATACCCAGTGTTCAAATTCTGACCCCATCGCTGCAATATCCGACCACCTTGAGCAATCCAAACTGATCCATAGGAGTTGATGGCGTTGAAGTCCGATACGACACCGTTGGAGGACGGTTTAATGTGGTAAACAGTGAATCGTCAATTTCGCTGAGTTGAATCGGAGCAAGAACATATATGAGTTGTGACTCGATGCCGTAATAGATCGCTTCGTTGATGAGCTCCTGATTTGAGAACGTCTGGCCGGTGGACCGGGAGGCGGTTGGTCCGGAGGAGGGAGAGAACGACGGAGAAGATTGCCAAATAGGCGAGTCCAGTAGTGTGGCCCTTATCGATGATCAACACAGCACCATAACCATTCTCAACACAATATTTTATATAAAAGAGATTATAGTAAATTGATCCATATAACCTAAAATATAACATTTAACCAAACAAGGTAATATTATATTACACAATCCAAACCAAACACATAAGGTAATCTTACATTCCCGAAATATTACATTACCTTTCTGGAGGTAATCCTATTATCCGGGGTAATTCAAGATTCCGTGAACCAAACAAACATTAAAATTAAAAAAAAAAAATACTTAACATAATTTTTGACAAAAAAAAAAAAAATCAAGAAAATCAAATGATTTTTAAAGTTCTTGATTTATAATCTTTGATGCTTAACTTTGAATGCTATGTATTTAGTCGGACTAATTATTTGATCAAAGTTTATGTTAAAATTTATATTATACATTTTTTAATGCATTTTAACATATTTGTAGTATATGTTTAACAATTATGCCATCTCTAATTGGGATGAGGTTCGAACCTAAGACCTTTCTTATATAAATGAATGAGTAAGTTAAAAATAATAAATAGTTAACGGAATATTCCGTTACTAAAGTTTATACTAACAGAATTTAGGTTATTTAAGGAAAAAAATAATATAATAGAGGGTAAATAAGGAAATCATTAAAAAAAATACTAAAATCAAAGTAATATGAATCATTCATTTTAAGAAACAATATTACCAACATTTTTTTGTTCCAATTAAGGGTATAACATTATTGGCCTCTTATTAAAATTGTAGAATATATATATATATATATATATATATATATATATATATATATAAAAGATTATAGTAAATTGATCCATATAACCTAAAATATAACATTTAACCAAACAAAGTAATATTATATTACACAATCCTAACCAAACACATAAGGTAATCTTACATTTCCGAAATATTACATTATCTTTCTGGAAGTAATCCTATTACTCGGGGTAATTCAAGATTTCGTGAACCAAATGCCCCCTGAAAGATTAAACTTCAAAATTTTCATGTTGAAATTTGAAAAAATAAATTACATTTTTTTTGTAAGCCGGTGTCAAGTCAAAGTGAGTTCCATTATTTTTGTTGCAATGTTATATGTACATAGCCAAGTTTCTTGAAATGCATTATTAATAATATATATATCAAGGAATGAAGTTAAGAAAGAAAAAAGAAAGTCTGATATTGTGAGAAAGGAGGAAAGAACCTTGTCAAGCAAGAATGAGAAAAAAAACAAACGAAATAAGGAAATCAAATATGGCAAGAAATATTTATTGTATATACTCCGTAATAATTTACTAACTGATTTAAAAAAAAACAAAAAAAGACTAATAAACGTATTTTCTAAGCAAATAAAACAATGACCATATATAAGCATATAGCTCATATTATAGTTTATTAATTTTTTTTAAAGAAAGTAAAGAAGCCTAAAAAAGCAGCGAGAGCATTAAAAAAAAAAAAAAAAAAAAAAAAAAGCAGCGAGTCAAACAAGAAATTGCAAGGAAAATTCCGCAACGACTTGACGTTGACTTGGTTAACCCAATCATGGGTCGACACGTTTTGACGGTTTCCGTGAAGTTAACGCAAATAACGCTTATAGTATTGACACGAACACTGGCAAATTGGCAATAACGGAAAGCTCGAAGCCCTCTCCGACGAATAGTCACTCCCTTCACTTCGGCCTCCCGACTTTCTCTCGCATGATTCTCTCTCATTCATCGTTTTAGTTTCCGTCGCGGCTGTTTTCGGTTCTCTCCGACTGATTTTCCGGTAACTCCCTCTCTCGATCGCTCCTTTGACGACTTACACTGTTCTTGACGATGACTTCCTCTTCTCCGTTTCCGAGTTTTGATTTCCTCTATTCCTTGCGTCGAATTATCCGATCAGGCCTGCGTTGACTTTACATCAACAGTTGCGATTCATGTGAACTCGTCTTCTGTTGTGTGAAGTGTTGCTTTCTCGTCTCTGAAGCGAGAAATGCTATACACCGATACACGTACATACATATAATATGTGTATGAGTTCCGTGTATTTAGACTCTCCTGCATGGAAGGTTTAACTAAATTACCATCAAAGGGCATGAAATTTGCTATATTGACCGGATTCTAGATAGTTTCTTCCCCAATTTGATATTTAGTTTTAAAGATTTTACTTGTTTACTAGTTTTAAAGATTTTACGTGAGAATTTTTCCTTCGTATTGAATTAATTACAGGGTGTTGCTAAAGAAAGAAAGGGATATAGGAAAACTAATTCTTCTTTGTGTTTTCACTTATCGCTACTGCTTCGTTTGTGGCATGTATCTAGTGTGGTGTCATGGTTTAAGATTGTCTCTAATTTTTCTTCGTGGACTGTTCTGTGAAATTTCATTCTCTCTTCTTCTTATAGGGTTTCATTTAAAATGTTCATTGTGCACAGCTTGTATACCATGATTAAACTATGTTTGCTTTGAATATATTTCGCTCAAGATTGTTTGTATAAATAGTTTAAGAATGCAATATTTGTTAAGAGGTGTTGAGTGATGTGCTTGAATTTCTATTTCGTATGTGTTAAGAATCCCATAAATTCCATGCTCTGAGTCTGAGATATTCATATTCTGTATGAGTTATTTTTTTCAAGTTGTTGCATTTCCTCTATATCTAAGTATTTATGCCTTAACTTCTAATTATTTTTCAGGACAACCTCTTGCAATATAAATAAAGGCATTCAGGTACTGGAACAGAGACAAGTGTTTATTTGCACCATTTCTGCCATGATTTTTAAATATCATATGATTATGTGTCTTGGTTGTCCTTAACGTCTTTTGTTAGATAAAGCTCAATTCTTTTCAGACTGGTCTTACTTTTTGAAACTTGATCAGGATGGACGTTGATGATGAAATGGACATGTCTGATGATTCGTTCAATGATTTTAATGCATTGCTCATGGAAAGTGAATCACAGGGGAAGGGAACATGGCCTTGCATGGAACCTATTCGGATGCCAATGGATGTACGTTGTGTACCTTAAGTGCTGTTATTTTAAAATTTAATAACCTAAATTGCTAGTGAATCTTAGTTTAACTATAGGACTTACTCATTGCTTACATTACAGGTCTGCACTACTTTTAATGTATGCAGGACACATCACCTATTAAGATAATTTGCCCTCTTTGGTATCAAGTATTCACTCTATTTCATGGGTTATTTCCTTTACATTACTGAACCACATTTTGCTTTCTCCAATAGAGTACTAAATAAGATGAACTTCTGTAATACATTCTATCATGTGTCAGCAAATGTCTAATGACTATGAGTACTATCAGAACTAAACAGTTAAAAGCTTTGGAGACACACACAAATGTGTATTTCTTCTTTATTCCTCTTGATGCATTAGCATCTATCCCTCACTCCCTTTCTTACAGTATTTTTTTTTTTTATTGCAGCTTGAGAACTGTGAATTTAGTACTGTTGCTAATCAGAAGTTTGATGAGAAAGTTTATAAATTTCCTGCTCACAACAAAAGAAAGGACTTGATTAAAGATGTGGTTAAGACACATGTACTTCCATTCCTCCCAGCTAAATCACTGCTCAAGTTCAAGTCCGTGTCGAAAGAGTGGGATCGGTGGATAAGCAGTCCCCTTTTGGCTCACCAGCAAAGCTTCTCATTTCAGAAAATATCTGGTTACTTCTGTCAACATGAGGATGGCTACAGTACATTCTTTTCTCTTGATGGTCCTGCATATGGAGTCCCCTGCCCTTTCCTCCAGTCCTTGCCTGGAGACAAAAAGGTGCTGGGTTCTTGCAACGGATTGTTGCTATGCCAGTCTTCAGAATCATACTATGTTTGCAACCCTGCAACCAATGACTGGAAAATGCTCCCCATTCCTGGGTATTATCATGGATCTGATCCAGCAGTTGTTCTTGCCTTTGAACCTTCCTTGCAAAATATTGAGGCATACTATCAGGTTATCTGTGCAATTTCCATGTTTGATTCCCCAGTCATCTACTTTGAAATTTACTCTTCAGCAACAAGATCCTGGAGGTGCTCTGATGCAATTTGTACTGAATTGGGAGATTCGTCTCTTAAGGGTGCCGGGTTCTACATGAATGGTAGTGCTTACTGGGAGACATCATCAGGTCAAGTTCTGGCCTTCAATGTTCAGAATGAGGAACATGGAATTATATCCCTTCCTTCTGAAGCTGCTAAAGGTGGCACTTTCACACTGGTAGGGGATGAGCTATGCTATGTTACTGTTAGTAACCATTCTTTGAATGTTTCCACAATTGACATCTACGGGGGATTGGACATGAGCCTGAAGCGCAGCATTTCTCTAAACCTTGAACTCTCGTTTTTTCCCGAGTGCAAAGTACTGCCAGGTGTTGATGGAGATAACTTGCTGATTCTCACCAGGGATGGGCAGCTGTTCAGTTATCACCTTAGTGATCAGAACGTTGAATTAGTGTGCAAGCCACGTCTAGTTAGTAGTTTCTATTCCAGGCTCCTGCCCTACATAAACAGTCTTGCCTGTGTTACTTGAGGGCATATGGAAGTTGCTTCTTGCCAGCCTTTCTTCCATAAAGGTGGCACGCACTTTTTTTACCAATGCCCATTAGTTTCTTTAGCATGTTCAGTTCACTTGTTGATGTATTGCAACTCCATGCTTAGCCAGACTTAAAAAAATTTGCTTTGGTGTACGAATCTTGTTTGGGAAAATTATTTTTGATTGGTTAATATTTTGTACATTATTTTTTTTCGTGGGTCTTGATATATACAGAGGAACTGGTAAAAGTCACAACTGCCTCCTTCCCAAACAAATTAGAGGTGTCTTACTATAAGCCAAAGATGTGGAGAGATACGAGGTTAGAAATGTCCTTCATTGTAGGAGGTCAGTTGGGTGGGGGGAGACTTGGGTGTATTCTTCTAGGAGGGAGAAACACATTGTTTACAAGATGGGATAAATCAAAAGTACACTTTAGAGAGATACCATTTTGCCAATTTCTCCGGAGAAACATTATTCCAATTTATCTGGCCGGATTGTTATCTGTTTGTTGTATTATATATACTTTTAGTAAAAAAATATATATATATATATATATCATGACATTACAGTTGTAGTTATTTTTGTGTAACAATACCTGAAGTGTAACAGAAAGAGAAGATAGTTTTGGTTTGCATGGGACATTAGTTTGGTTTGGTTTGGCATGATTGCGCTGTTATCTCGGCCGGCGGCGAGTTGTGCAGTGGGAGAATTGTTTAGTGGCGGCCGGAATTTGATCACCAAATGGCTGCAACCGCTCCCGGATCGGATTCTACTCCTCCATCACCAACTGAACCCGAACCCGAACCCGAACCCGAACCCAAAAGTCCACCACCTAAAGAGTCCCCTCCTCCGTCACCAGTCCCTTCATCTCCTCCTCCATCATCTCCGCCCCCGTCTTCTCCTCCGCCCCATGATAAGACGCCTCCACCGGCACCACCGGCAGCATCGCCACCGCCGGCTCCAATTAATAATCCCCCACCAGTACCAACTCCGGTCGCTCCTACCCCTAATGGAACGCGAGTTTCTCCTCCGCGAGGTGTATTTTCTCCGCCGCCTCCGCCACGAAAACAGAATCCGGGATCACCAAAGTCTCCTTCCAACGACGATTCATCTTTACCGAATAATGCGGCAATCATCGCTGGAGCCGCTGTGGGGGCTCTAGTATTGATTCTTATCTTAGCTATCATTTTGGTAGTGTGTATAAAGAGGAAAAGGAAACAGAAGCCCTATTACATGGACTATAGAGACCGTGGACATCCATACAGAGGTAATATAATGCTTAATTAATGGAGATTTTACGCACTGCTTTTTGATTAATATAATATAATGTAGGCGGGGAGCACGTGGTTAGGGTTCCGCCGCCACAAGGGATGATGGGGACACAACTAGGCGGCGGCGGTGGTGGTGGTTGGGGTCCGCCTCCGATGAATGGAAGCACAGAGTACACTCCCCCAGGTTTCTCCGCTGCGTATGCTACTCCCATGCAGCCTCTGCCGCCTCATTCACCAAGGGGGATTGGCAGAATTACACCGCCGACTTCCTTGACGTCTCCTTCACCGATGGGCGGGTTCAACCAGAGCCAATTCACGTACGAGGAACTAGCTGCCGCCACGGCGGGGTTTTCTCAGGATAATTTGTTGGGGCAAGGCGGTTTCGGTTACGTTCACAAAGGCGTCCTCCCCGACGGACGAGAAGTCGCCGTCAAGAGCTTGAAATCCGACAGCGGGCAAGGGGAAAGAGAGTTTCAGGCTGAAGTTGAGATCATTAGCAGAGTTCATCATCGTCATCTCGTCTCCCTTGTTGGATATTGCATTGTTCACGCCCAGAGAATGCTGGTTTATGAATTTGTCCCTAATAACACCTTGGAATTCCACCTTCATGGTACCATCTTATCTCCCCCCCTCCCCCCAAGCTTCAAACAAACCCCATCTATAACGAGTTTGGTTGAAGTGAGTGGCCTTGCACTATCATTCCTTAAAGAGAGGTCGAGATTTCGAACCTCCTCTCGTATGGAAAACTAATCTGACCAGCACTTTGACCCTTAATTGGGTCGGACCGGTGTGAATGAGGATTAGTTTGAGTATGGTATGAGCTTAAATGTGCCTCCTACAGTTAGGGCCTGCTCATGACACTTAGGTAATTTATATCTGGTCCACAGTGCACTATGGATCCTAGTCTAATATACAGAATTTGACTTCATAAAGTACAGAATTCAAGTTCATAATGCACAGAATATATAGCAGAGGACACATAAACACCTAACATAAAACATAGAATTCATATTCATTATATCGTGTTTATGTGTATGTGTATTATGATAATGAATTCTGTGCATTATAAACATGAATTATATACTTTATGAAGTCAAATTTTATGTATTGAACTAGAGTCTACGGTATAACGATTGGGACACCTCATGGTGTGACAAAAAAAACAATGGCCATCTATTTCACCTATTTAGAGATTGTGAAATGAAGGAACAAATTTTACAATTGTAGGAAAGGGCCAGCCAGTCATGGAGTGGCCAATCAGGCTCAAAATTGCAATGGGATCGGCTAAGGGATTGAGTTATCTCCATGAAGATTGTATGAGACTAGTTCCCTTTTCTCTTTTACTTGTGTCTTTTCTTCAATTTCTTAATGTCAGATTTCTCGCCCTTGTTCACCTTCATAATGTAGGTCATCCTCGGATTATCCACCGTGACATCAAATCTGCAAACATTTTGCTTGATAACCAATTTGAAGCCATGGTAGGCTTTAATGAAACTAGCATTATATTACAAAGTAAATAATATAATATAATGCACCCTTGATAGACTTATGGCTCTTGATGATTTTTCAGGTTGCTGATTTTGGGTTGGCAAAACTATCTTCTGATAATAACACTCATGTATCAACTCGTGTTATGGGAACTTTTGGGTACACAGATTAATCATCATCATCACTACCTTTACCTCTGAATCATGCATCCAAATTTGTGTTCATGTTACACTAATTGCATGATTTTTTTTTTTCCAGATACTTGGCTCCAGAATATGCATCTAGTGGAAAGCTAACAGAGAAATCTGATGTTTTTTCATTTGGAGTCATGCTCTTGGAAATCATAACCGGGCGTCGACCCCTCGATCCTACCAATATCACCATGGAAGACAGTTTAGTAGACTGGGTTTGTTCCATCTTCAACTCTCTAATTATCAATTTAGACTTTTAAGCCATCTTGATTGGCGTGAGTGGCATGCACTCTTGTCTCTAAGAGAGGTTGGACTCTTGTCTCTAAGAGAGGTTGGGAGTTCGAACCTCCTCTTGTATAGAAAAATCAATCTGACCAGCACTTTACTTAGCTTCTTAATTGGGTCGGCCCAATGCAAACGGGAATTAAAAATGGTACGGGCTTAAAGGCGTCTCCTACAGTTAGGACATGCTCAGGACATCTTGTGGTTTGACCAAAAAAATTTAGACTTAATATCAATATTTATCCGTGCTCAGGCTAGGCCACTTCTTGCTAAAGCTATTGAAGATGGGAACTATAATCAATTGGCAGATCCGCGCCTAGAAGGCAGGTATAACTCCCAAGAGATGGGTCGCATGGTTGCTTGCGCAGCTGCTTCCATTCGTCATTCTGCTAAAAGACGTCCCAAGATGAGCCAAGTACTATCCACATCCATCTATTACCACAACAATTTCTTTGGGTACTTGTGTTATTAGTGAGATTACATATCTATTATATATTTTTATCTATAAACAGATTGTGCGTGCTTGGGATGGAGATTTTTCACTGGATGACTTGAATGAAGGCGTGAGGGGGGCGGGGGTGCGCTCGTCGGCTAGCGAATCTAGTTTGTACGACACCCGTGCGTACAATGCAGACATGTTGAAATTCAAGCAGATGGTAATGACCAACAATGAGAGCAGTGAATATGGAGGCGAGTTTGGTCACGACCGGCCCTCCACCTCCACGACAAGCTTAGGCGACTCCGGAGAACATTATCAGCCACATAGGGGGCAACAACAACATCATCAACAACAACAAAAGTATTTTATATAGACCATACCACACTATACATATATACATATACCAATAATTTGTGCTTCCAATTCCAACACAAAACTAAAGCTCTTTGAGTTATCATCTTGGGGAATCAATTTTTAAGATTCTAACCTTTATTCCTGGAACACACTACAAGAAAAACATATAAATAGAGACGGGATCATGTAATGGCCGGCACTATCGGTTCTCTGATTTCCATGGCTTCGAGATGCATGGTACATGAGTTGTTCATTATCCTTGTGTTACCTAAGAAAAATGTCTTTGTTGTGACAAACGAAGCACAATTCGAATTTGAATTATCATTGTAATGTTTCTCATTGGCTGTAAATGCCTTCAAATAATCAAATCCATTGTCGCTTTCCAAAAAAAAAATAAAAATCAAATACATTGTCATGCATGCATATACATATGGAGCCCGAATTACTATTGAACTCCATTTTGTTTGCTCTCTATCTCTCACTAATAATGCCATATTATGAGAGTTTAAGGCAATTGATTGAATCAATTAAACTAGTCTCTCGAGCCAAATGTTCTTTAAATTGATAATTGAATTAATTGTTGGCCTACAATGCTCTCTCTTGTCATAATAGTATGTACTAAGGTACAACCCATAGCTAAATTGGTCAGATTATTAATTTGGTAATCATACAATTTTAAGTTGGGCTTTCACCTTATGACATCGAGTAATATATATGAAGACCACCCATATCACAAACACTATTCGAACTAATTGCCAACTCAACCTTTGCAACAATTCGTGCTCATGCCTTGGTCATGGTCACACTCACCCTAGTTGTGGTCATAGGCTGGATGCCAGCGAACCTGTTATTCATAAAGGACTGATTCCTATTTCAGCATGAAAAGGAAACCACCGAATATGAAAGGTGATTTGCGACGGATCCTTGAAAGATCTGCAACACTTAACATGTAGAATGACGGTTTTTAGTCGATTCCTATCGAAGTCGGTCGACAGAGCTCAACCCTTCTTTGAAGCGCTGAATAAGCGTGAGGGATTCAGGTGGACTGTAACATGCCACTTTTCTTAATCTAAATTCCCGAATACTTAACTTAAAAGATAACTAAACAAGGCAAAGATACGATTAATAACTTAAAACAAATTCTAAAAGAGGTGTCACCACCACAGTCACCGCACATGATGACTGCACAGGCTAGGAGTGTACTGTCTAGAGTCAAGCTCATCAGTCTATAAAACATCTAAACAACTGAGTTTTAAACATCCATCAATAAAACAGAGTCTAGACTAACATCTAGCAACTCTAAGCTACGCGCTAATCTATCTCGATCGCGCTCAAACACTGGGTCCACCTGAAAGGGGTTAACAAACAAGCAAATAGAAAACAACCCGTAGCACGAATGCTAAGTATAACGCCACTCAACCCTGTAAAGTACTATAAATATACTTTTGGAAAAGCATTTGGCAATCACACTTAAATCAAATATTTCCACATACTTCAACCATAACTCATATCATACTCAACAGGCACAAGTGTCAAATAGGCTCATCTACTACTGCAAAGTGTTCAATTCCCACCATAAACTAAATTAAGTGTCAAATAGGTCTATTTACCAGCTAAATTTGTTCAATTGGCCGTTTTTACAGGTTACCAACAGGTTGCCTATTAATTATTAAAATAAATAATTAAAAAATTAAACAAAAAAAAAAAAAAAAAAAAAAAAAAAAACTCGCAGGACAGCCGGTGGCTGCCATTTCAAAGACAGCCGTGGCTGTCCGGCGAGGACAGCCACGGCTGTCTAATATGAGGTCCAGATCTGGACCTCATGTTTGAGGTCCAGGTCTGGACCTCAAAGGACGGGAACGAGCGCCGCCGCCCTCGTTCCATACGGCCATGGACGGCCATGGCCGTCCCTGGACAGCCATGGCCGTCTAAAAAAAAATTCAAATTTTTTTTTAGACGGCCATGGCCGTATGGAACGAGGGCGGTGGCCGCCCTCGTTCCCGGCCTTTGAGGTACAGATCTGGACCTCATATTAGACAGCCACGACTGTCTTTGAAATGGCAGCCACTGGCTATCCGGCGAGGACAGCGGGTGGCTGTTCTCTTTTTTTTTTTTTTTTTTTAATTATTTTTTTTTTGAAAAATTTTAATTATTTATTTTAATAATTAAATAGGCAACATGTTGGTAACCTGTAAAAAATGCCAATTGAATGAATTTAGCTGATAGATAGACTTATTTGACACTTAATTTAGTTCATGGTGGGAATTGAGCACTTCGTAGTAGTTGATGGGCCTGTTTGACACTTGTGCCTACTCAACAATAAGTTCTATATGCTTGCAACCTAATTAACAAATAGGCATGCTTTCTTAAGTACTCCACTTATCATAAATCTCATGCTTTCACATATCTTTCTAAACATAACTCATACTGATAGAAAGGAGGAACTTAAACTTAAACAAGCAAACTCATGCTATCAAGTTGATCAATAAACCACAATTCAATATCATACTTTTTTTCAAGCTTTTATGCTAAACATGCAAGTCATGAAAACCATGCGACAAGATAATCATGATGCTTTAAGTATAAATATATAGATAGATATACATATACACTCGCTCTTTTGTATCAAGGAACACTTGTTCTGTGGAGGTTTCTTGTTGAGTCAAAATGAATCGTTTTTTTCTTCTTTCACTTGAGTCTCTTGACTCACTTTTTTTTTTTTTTTTTTCTTACTTTCATTACTCGTGGGCGAGGTAGGAACTTCACCACAATGTGAACGGACCTATCTGGGCTCAGCATCTAGCCGGCCTAATACTCGTCTCACCCACAGAACCACTCTCTTAGTTCTTTTCTCAAACTCTGTGGAATCAGGTATCGTACTTGTTAGTGTGCACACCCCCTAACCGGGATTCCAAGCCTGGCGGGTAGTATCCAACCTAGTAACTCAGGAATATCAACCTTGTTACTTCATATCGGATCGTAATGTCCGTTTCTTTCTCAACTTTCTGTCTTTCTCTTTTACTCCGAAAGGACATAGTCCTAACGGGCCTCCAAACCTCAAACTTCTCACAATACTTATATATAGATATAACTCATGCACTTCTTTCTCATGCAACAATTTATCTTATGCAAGCTCATGCACATAGTTTCTCAACAACTTCTCTTTTCTCACAAATTGGAAATCGTATATCATGCAAACTTCTCAATGCAACTAGATAATAATTTTCCAAAATAGATATAGATTTTTGATAGAAGACTTAGGCTTACTAAGAGCCAAATATGCACTTTAAATAATGAAATACTAGTCATGCTCTTTTACTGTAAAATAATCTCAATTTCTGTTTAACTGTAAATCAAGGAATAAGGTACTATTTCATGCTTATAACTCAAACACTTAGCAAAACTTCTTAGCAAATACTTAGTAAGTAATGATCATGCTCTTTAAGCTCAAAATATACTTCAAATTCTAGCAATTTCTCTTTACTGTAACTAGGAAATTCATGAACTGGACTTATCCAAATTCTCACACTCTTTGCAAAGTTTCTCAATAAATAACAAGAAATACTTACACATGCTTTTCAATCAAAACAATCAAATAATGATCATGCTTCTTTTCTTAAACAACTAAGCTCAAAAACTTCTATTCTTCTTCACTGAAAACCATTTGCAGAAACCAACAAGAATAATTCTCAACACCACTTCTACTGTAAAACAAGCATTTCAACTCCAAATTCAACGAAACTAACTTCTACTAGTGCGTCATAACGAACCCGAGCGTTCGAGCCTCAAGGGCCCACGAGTCCCGGTTTGAACGACACATAGCTGAGCCATAGAGGGCCCGACCAGAAACCAATTTGGCCTGGCCGCCACTTGACTCCGCCAAGCGGTGGATCACGCCATGGTCCGCCCCCTGGAGTCGTTGCTCCACAGTGCTAGCCGGCGGACCTCCTTGAAGTCCGTTGGCTAGTACCGTTAGGCTATCTGGTGCACCAGACAGTGTGCACCAGAGGCCTTCTCTTCACCTATAGGCATTTTCAGTGCAATCCAACACTCCCAAAACCTCAACAACTCAAACATAGATCAACAATAACTCATCAATAGCTCAACAACAACAATAATCTAACATTTGTAAGCATTTGCACCTCAACTATGCATTCACAGACTCAAATAAATAGCTGGAAGTCCATGGATTATACCTTTGTTGCTTCTTCTTCCTTGTATGGATTCCTTCTTCCCAACTCAACCACTACCCCCTTCACCACATAAATACCTCAAACAAGTCAAACAACAATACTTAAGAGGAAAACCTCAGAGATTTGAAGCTAAAGAGAAGAAGCTAGATGAACAAAGGATGAAAATGAACCTAAGAAACTTACCGTGTTTCTTCTTTCTTTCTTGCAGAGCTCTTGGGTGGGAAGACAAAGAATGGAATTGGGAGGAAAGGTTGGTTTTCTATTGTTTTTATACGGGTTCAAAACCCTAGAAGGATACTCAATGATTGGTGGAGGGCAAAGTGGTCTTTTGGTTGGTTCTCAAAAATATCAGACAAAGTTTAGAAAGGCGTGTGGTCCACCTTGCTTCATGGACCAAAGTCTAGAAGAGTGAACTTAGGGTCCGTTTGGAAAGCAGGAAAATGTCTTCTGGAAAATGAGTCATTTTCCAAAAAACATTTTCCTTTCCAGTGTTTGGTTGCATTTTGGAAAACTCGGTGTGTTCAGTTTATTTTATGGAAAAATGAGTAGAATTGTATGTTTAAACATTTTGGCGGAAAATGACTTCCCCCAAATTTTGGCGAAAGTCATTTTCTGCCAAAATGGCTTCATTTTCCCCAGTCAACGGAAAATATTTTCCGTTGACTGGATTTTCCTGTTGCATCCAAACACTGAAAACTCGGAAAACATTTTCCAGAAGTCATTTTCCGAGTTTGCAAACAGATCCTTAAATACTTTGGGGTCAAAAATAGATTTTTCTAAAAATGTTTTCTAGATAAACACTTGGTTCAGGTTTCTCAGATTTCTTCCGATTCCACTCAGATTAACTTTTGTGTCAAAACTTGGCACATAAGGTACCCAATAATTTAGGATTTTAGAAATAGAATAATCTCGATGTTGAATTTATTTTAAAACGTAATTCAAAATAATTAATTCAAACACCGTGTTCAAAATAAATTTTTTGAAGAATGAAAAATGGCTACTTTAGAATATTGTAAAATAGAATTTAGAAAATTAAATTTTGGGTTGTCACATGGACGGACGAATGTCAAGTGGTCTTCGAAGAGTTAAAAGGTACTTACTTTCTCCGCCTATATTGTCTAAGCCTAAGGAGGGCGAGGCACTATCCCTATATTTGGCCACCTCTCAAAGGGCAGTCAACTTAGTGCTCATCCGAGAGAAAGAACGAATACATCATCCGATTTATTATGTCAGTTGGGCCCTAAAGCTTGCCCAGTATTCCCCACTTGAAAAAATGGTGTATGCCTTAGTAATTACTATAAGGAAGTTGGTGCTCTACTTCCAGGCGCACCCGATTAAAGTTTTGACGGATCAACCCTAAGCCAGGGTATTGCGAAATCCGAATTCGTCGGGTTGACTGGTGAAATGGGCTGTGGAGCTCACATAGTTCGGGATTGAGTGCCTACCTCAACCGTCCATCAAAGCACAGGTCTTGGCAGACTTCATAGTTGAGTACACTGCCTAGTAGTTGGAACGGAGTCAACCAGTTACCCCTGAAGAAGGGGTGGTGGGAAATGCATGTCGATGGAGCCACTAGTCAACGACAATGTGGGGGAGGAGTCATGCTGACTACCCCCGAGGGATTTTGACTATATTATGTCATGGAATACGGGTTCAAAGCGTCAAACAACGAGGCCGAGTATGTGGCCGTTCTAGGCGGATTATGATTGGCCAAAGCATTGGTAATCCGGAGGTTACGCATACGAAACGACTCTCGTCTCGTGGTCAGCCAACTGATCGGTAGCTATGAAACGAAAGGAGAGAAATTGAAGATGTGTAAGGAAGTGACAAAGGGACTCCTGAAGGATTTCGTAGCTTATGAAATCAAGCATGTTCCCCGTGTCGAGAATGCGGAAGCTGACATCCTATCAAAGGTAGCATTGGGAGGGGTGCCCGACCACTTACTAAAAGTATGTCAGAAAGAAATGGTAGAGAAACCAAGCATAGAAACCGACCCGTCCAGGGCCGTGGCCAAGATTGATGTTGATTGGGGTTTATTTAGAAACCCATCTAGAGATGTATTGGATAGAAGACATTAGCAGGTGTTAGATGATCCGGTGGAAGTTGCCAAGATCAAGAGGCGTAGAGTGATGGAGGAGGCCCATAGAGGGATATGCGTTGTGCATCAGGGAGCCCATACCCTTGCAAGAAATTAGTGGTACAAGGGTACATTGCCCGACCATTATGAGGGAATACATTGAAAAATTGTCTAAGTGCGCTGTCTGCCAAGAATTCGTCCAAAGGGAGACACAACCAGCCTCTTTCTATACGCCCATCACCACAACTATACCATTCGCCAAGTGGGACCATTACCCCGAGCACCCGCCCGATACATATTTTGCATAGTAGTCGTATACTACTTCCCTAAATGGGTCGAGGTGGGGTCATTTGTCACCATTACGAAATACCAGTGTAGGAGGTTCCTTTGGAAGAATGTCATATGTCGATTTGGGCTGCTAGAGCATCTAATAAGTGACAATGGTCGACAATTCGAATGCTTCCCTTTCACGAGTTCTGGTTGGCAATTCAATAACCATTTTATGTTCAATAACCTAATTAGAGAGGTTATTTGGTCCTAATTCATAATTGTTGTTATGAATGAAACATAGATTATACATCAATACTCTATGGGTCAAACTTATCTCACATAATTGGTCTTGTTAGTATGATTTATATCTCTTATGTAATTTATATATTATTATATGAAAAATGGTCAAATAAGCTTTCAAACTTTACAGGAAAGCACAATTAGCCCTCTAAACTTTTGAAAAATGCAATTAAACACTTCACCTTGCTATTTTGATGCATTGAAACTCAAAATTGATTAATGACCTGTGATAGCTATCACTTGCAGGTCATTCATATTTTGAAAACTCCAACGACCGTCAGCGGTCGTCGACTTCATCCTAGCAAAAGGCGACCACCTTGGTCGCCTCCTCATCGAAGAAGGTGACCAAAGTGGTCGCCTTCACCTGAAGAAGGTGGTGGAGAAGGCACAGTGGGCCTTCTTTGCCGGAGAGGGAGACCAATGATTGCCTTCTTCAAAGAGGGCGACCGGTGACCGAACGTCAGTCGCCAATTTTTCTCAGATTGTTATGGTCAATGTCAGTCAACGACAACTAGTGGCGGTCAACGATAGCTTATATACTAGTAACCTGTTGATTATCAATAAATTGAGTTTATTTGATCAATTTTATTAAGTTAGAGTGTTTAATTGCACTTTTCAAAAAATTTATATGGTTAATTGCATTTTTCTGTAAAGTTATAGTGTTTATTTGACCATTTTTTCATATATTATAATACAAGAGTAGAGTTTACTTGTGCACACTCTTGGCTATGATTTTCCTTGTAAGACAGATTTTTTTTTTTTTTTAAACCAACCCTCTCTTGGTTGAACTTATCACATGCACATAATTAGTCTAGTCTTTGTTTACCTTTACTATAAATTCATAAACTATTATATCAAAGCAATATTTACTCCGTGCCCAACCTTAAACCTTTGCTATGATTTTCCTTGCAACCCAGAAAAAAACACAAATTATAGGGAGTGAGAATTTTTCTTTCGGTCCATTACGGTTATCTTGTCCTGACCAAAGGCGAGTTAATTCCAGTAATAGTCCTCTAACTATATTGATTTTCTAAAATTAGTCCCCAACTTTTAAGGGGACACTTTACATCCCTTGATTTTCAATTTCTTTTCAATTGAGATCATTTCGTCAGATTACAATAAAATGAACTTTAAATGAAAGGGTAAAGTAATCTTTTCATCTGCCTAATACATAATTCTTCGTATTTCTTCCTTGTATACGCGACTTCGGACATCAAATTCATTTAATTGTTTAATCCCTAATGGAATTTTATTCTTCGAGTGAATTTAGAGATTAAGCAATTAAGTGAATCTGATGTCCAAAGTCGCACATACAAAGGAGACATACGACATTAGGCAGATAAAATAACTACTTTATCCTTTCAAAATTTAATTTATTGTAATATGACAAAAGAACCTCAATTGAAAAGAAATTAAAAGTTAAAAACATAACATATCTAAATTAAAAGTCAAGACTAATTTTGAAAAAGAGTTAATTCCAGCAATGGTCCTCCGACTATATTGATTTTCCAAAATTAGTCCTTGACTTTTAATTTGGACACTTTAGGTCTCTTGACTTTCAATTTCTTTCCAATTGAGGTCCTTTCGTCAGAATACGGTTAATTGAATTTTAAATGAAGGGGTAAACTCATCATTTCACCTGCCTATGTATTATTCTTAGTATTTCTCCATTGTATACGCGATATATATGAAGATAATCTTAGTTGAAACCCTAAAATGTTCCTCGTCGTTCCCCATTTGCTGACTACTCGTGTGTGCGTTCCTCTATTAATGAGATGTTTACAAGGTATAACAGCGAAATACGAAGGGAGAAATACGAAGAATAATACATAGGCAGGTGAAAGGACGAGTTTACCCCTTCATTTAAAGTCTAATGAACCGTATTTTAACGAAAGGACCTCAATTGGAAAGAAATTGAAAGTCGAAGGACCTAAAGTGTCCAAATTAAAAGTCGGGGATTAATTTTGGAAAATCACTATAGTCGGAGGACCATTGCTGGAATTAACTCTTTTGAAAAATTAATATACTCTTGATAGAATTTACTCGTTAAAAATATTATTGTAAAAAGAAGAAAAAACCAAAACGTCTTCTTCCGTGTTGATTTCTCCATTTGCCGACTAGCCCTCGCGAAAACTTACGGTGGGAATCTCTCGAAATTAATCGATGCAAGTGATCTTCGCCTTCCCGTCAGTGTAATCGAAGAGCGAGCATTCGATACTTTTTGAGGCACTAGGCTTAATCGACGATGGGAGACCACAACGATGCCTTCATGCGTAACAACAACAGCGCCGCCGTTCAGGCCAGGACCAAGGCCCAGAACCGCGTCAATATCGTGCAACTCAAGCTGGTAAGCTATAATTTATGGTTCCCCTTTTCTGGAACTTCTGGTATATATATTTTTGGTGAACTTATAATCTTATGCTCTATGGGAAGTTAGTTTAGTATATATAGTTGTAGTTTGGCTATAACGCGTCAGAAGCCTAAGTTCTATCTCATTTCAGCTTAGCTGGATTTGTGTTTCACTTGAGTTAGCATTGGATTGTTTTGGCTATAGATTTGTGTGATATATTTTAGTGATTAGGACCTGGAACTGGGCCATTTACACAATTACATTGATATGGATCCATTAATGGTACGGTTTGAATTTTATATACTGGCTTCTATAGTTCAGTAATGAGTTATCATGTTCTAGGATCTCAAATATTAATATTTAGTATGTATTTTCAACTGAAAATTTGCCACTTGTTTTCAACTGAAAATTTTAGTTGTTGGGAAATGGTGAGGAAGAGATTTGTGTTCTGATTCATATGATTCTTTTTCCTTGTGAAAGGTGAATGCTCAACTTGTATCTAACCTGTTTTGTCGAGTTCTTGTTTCTATTTCGTACCTAACTTAATAGCTAAACTGTTTGGTTGATTTAATCTTGTTTATAGTGACAGAAAGTATGTGCTTGGTGCACGTTAAGATTTCCTTTTTGATTTACTGCTTTAGTGATAGCCACTATTAAGTAATAGTCTTCCACTCTCTTTTTGGTTTATTTATTTATTTATTTTTTCCTAATACAGATTGGTCAAAGTCACCCGACTGGTTTGACAGCTAATCTGCTAAAGCTGTTTGAGCCTCGCCCGCCTTTGGAATTTAAACCACCTCCTGAGAAGAGAAAATGCCTTCCATATACAGGTTTCTATCTATTTACTATTGAGATATGAGTTTGTTTGCATCTTTTGGTTCATTTAAAGTTACTGAGCTATTACTTTTGCTGTTTAGGTATGGCACAATTTGTTAGTAATTTGGCTGAGCCTGGTGATCCAGAATATGCTCCACCTATCGAGGAGGTTGAAACTCGGGTAAGATTTTCTTTCAAGGAAAACACTATATCAGATGTTTTTAAATGGTTAGACAATAGACATCATTGATTAATTATTTCTTTCATGTTGATTTTAAGTTCAATAGTTCATATTTTGTTATGGTGATTTTTATTTTATTTTATTTTATTTTTTACTTAACCTATTACATTTTAATGGTTTTGCAAGGGGAAAAATTCCTTGGCTGATCTTAATATTGATTGATTTTCCAAGGTCTTTAAGGCTACTATTTCCGTACATAGCTTTTTCTGAAAGATAACATTTGCTTGTCTAAGGCTTTTCCCCACCTCCAACACACTCAAACATTAGTCAAAATATTAATTCATAATCTCTCTTAATTGTATTACCTATTACTGTCTACTCTGTTATTTATCTTCCTCTTGATTCATCTTTGCCCTTTAGTAGTTTTCATTTCCCTGATTTTTAGTATGCTTTTTGATCAATCTTTGTTTTCCTTGACATGTCTGAACAATTTTGCTGTCTGGAAGATGCCGTTTCTACTTCTAGTTCTGTAGTAGAAGCTGCTTGACATTTTGATTACATTGTCTATTTATTGACGCATGTGAATGGTAGTTAATCTAATGGGGCATAGATTTGCCTCTAAGCAGAGGCATAATTTGTCTATTTGTTTTTTCTGTTATATATGGTTGCATCTCTTTTTGTGAAATCTAGGCACAAAGAAGAGCTAGGGTCCACAAGATACGACTGGAAGAGGGTGCAAAAAAGGTTGCTGAAGAGCTTGAGAAATGTATACAAGCACTTTTTGTCTTCTATTCTAAGATGCACGCACGAGTCATGACTCTGTTTATATACATAGGTCTATTGGAATAACGCTCAATGTTCTCATGCTACAATTCTGCAGATGATCCAAATAATGACCCCAATGCTACTGGAGATCCATACAAGACACTTTTTGTAGCTAGACTTGTGAGTAGAGCTTATTACATGTTTATTAAGTTCAATTTAAGCCACAGTCTGTTTATATATTGTAGGACTTTTTTGATTGTGTTGTTTTTGTTTTCGTTTTCAGAACTATGAGACGACTGAAAACAAAATCAAAAGAGAATTTGAGGCTTATGGTCCTATCAAGAGGGTAGGTATTAAGGGGCACCCAATGTGGGGCTCAAGTTTCTGACATTGGGTCGGTAAGGTGAAGTTTTATGGTGGGATTGCATTGCTGTTCCATAAATTTTATGCAATGTTCCTATTTTAGTACTCCCATCCCACTTCTTCATGTGTCCTATATTCTAATTTCTCTAGAATCTATCATCATGTTTTTTCCAAACCTTATTAATCATACTTAAGCTAGAAGCTAGATATAAAAATGTACTTTGACTAATTTATCAAACTTTTTAAAAAAAAAATTATAATAAATTATAGTCAAATCTGTTTCTTTCATATTTAGGATGGAAGATCTTTATGAGAACTTCAAATCTTTATCTATAAACAGGTTGTTTATTTGTGTTGTTGCCTTTTTATGTCAATATTGGTTGTCTTCTATTTTTTATTATTATTATTTTTATTTTATTTTTTTTTTCAATTACAATTGAGTGATTGTCATTTATCTGTACCATAATATATGTTGTGAACTGTTCGTATTAAAATGCTAGCACCTTTTTTGGTCATGCACTTGGAAAATTAAGCAAATGGAATTGTTAGCAATCCCTTCTCTCGCAATATTGAGGTTGGCAGGGTAAAGTTTGGATTTCTTTTTTCTTTCTTCTTGATTCCAAAAGACTTTATCCTAGGTCAAATGCATTATTCTCAGGTACATCCCACATTTTGCAGTTTTAATTTCTTCTCCTACACCTGCGTCGGTAATCGGTATGGGCTTTAAATGTTGTCTTAGACTCCATTAGTTAGTAGGTGCTGCTCTGAATGAAATATTCTTGGAAATGATGAGATTGTTGTTTAAGGTGTCTTCTTTCATTCTTATCAAAATGGAACCATTTCAATCCCAAGGCCCGTGCTTCATTCTGCAAAACATAAGCTGAAAATATAAAGTTGAGCAGAGCAGTGGTGCATGTGGCCCTTTGGCCCTTATGATTCAACAATCAAGACATGGTTTTTCTGCACTGGGTAAGGGGTGAAATATTTAGGGAGTATGTGTTTACTAACAGGAGAAATTCTCCATTTTTTGGAGAGATGGAAAACTGGAAATAGAAAATACGTTGTACATCTGGAAAATAGAGAATGGAGAATGGAAAACTGGAGAAATGGTAAACAGTGAATTGAAGTAAATGCAGTGTTGTCTCTCTCTCTCCTTTTTAACTTTTTATATGTGCTGTATCTGCCACCAAGATTTGTTTTTGTATTTAATGGCTGTTCATGAGCCCTGTATTTTATGTACTATATATTATACGGAGTACATAATACTTTACCTGTTCCCACTTCCCAAAAATCTCTGGTAAGGGGAAGTTAGAATGTTTGACAACTATAAATTGGCGACAGTTTTTGTGGTACTGTACCAGTGATGGTGATGCATCTTGCCAGGGAGCTCTATGGTTCAAAGGTGAGCACGGCTAAGGAGGCATAGTGCCCATCTGCCGTGCCAATAGGAATTACTCAATTTAATATTCAATGACATGAAATAAAACCAACTTAACTGCGTTAAGTGGCTAGTAGATACATTATTCTTTTGTGAATAGTGGCTTATTTTGAGTCCTTTTGTGTTTCAGGTTCGACTAGTTACAGACAAAACTAATAATAAACCTAGAGGGTACGCATTCATAGAGTATGTCCATACTCGGGATATGAAAGGTTTCTTTTTTCAATCTTATTCTTTGATGGCATTCCATTTTGTTGATACCCTCTCATACATTTTTCTAAGTGTGTGCATGCATGCGTTTTCAGCTGCATATAAACAAGCAGATGGAAAGAAGATTGATAATAGAAGGGTGGTTGTTGATGTTGAACGGGGTAGAACTGTCCCAAATTGGCGACCCCGTCGCCTAGGTGGTGGACTTGGAACAACAAGGGTTGGAAATGAAGATCTTAATCAGAGGTATTCTATTTGGGTGGGTGGGGCTGGGTGGTTAATTAGTTTTGTTAGTGGTTACAACATATGCCAGTACCTTTGCTACACATCTAGCTCCTAAAAAATATAACATTCTAGATCCTTTTTTTTCTTGGTAAATGCGTTGTCTCCCCTTTGATGATCAGCATAATCTTAAGCCATTTTACCATTTTTCTCCCTTTGGTAGGCAAAACATAATCTAAACCCCTTTTTTTTTTTCATTTTTATTTCCTACCAATCAGGTTTAAGTTTGATGTCCATTTTAATGTGAGAACTGAACTGAATTGCATGTGTCTTCTAACTTAAATGGTTATTTTTATTCAATTAGTTAGCCTTTAACAAAGAGTTAATTTCTGGATTTCAACATCTTTTCTTCCCATAAATCCTTCTGGTAAGCTAATCATCTTAATACAATCCAAGTAAAAGAACAAAGTTAAATCACTTTGCAGTCTGAACTGTTTCAAAATACATAATTACAATTAAGGTTTCTGCTTATCAATTGTTCAGAGACCTAGTGCAGTCAGGAGGAAAAGCTCAGTCTGAGGAGCCAAGGATACGAGATGACAGAGACCGGTACATCTCAGTTCATTTGCCTATTTTGTTTTTAACTATACTAATACTACTATTGTTGTTGTTGTTGTTTTTTTTTTTTGGGTTGAGGGGAGGGAGTGGTGGTGGTGGTGGTAGTATCTTAAATGTGTTGACCAACTTTTCAAAGGAATAAAATGTGCTTGACTGACAACAATACAACATTTGATGGATAGGGAGAAGTCCCGTGAGAGGGGAAGGGATAGGGAAAGAGAACAAGAGAAGTCTCGTGAGCGATCTCATGAAAGGCCAAGGGATCGTGATTATAGGGATGAGAGACACAAGGATCGTGATAGAAACAGGGATTATGAGAGAGACCATGGGCGTGATCGTGATAAAGAACGTGATCGAACGCGAGGGCGTAACCATGGTAGGGAGCGTGATCGTGGGAGAGACCGCGATCATAATCGCGAGAAGGATAGAGGTAGAAGTAGGGACTATGATGTTGATGAGCACGAGCATGGCTATTCTCGCGATAGGGACTATGACTACGATCATGAGCATAGTTATTATCATGATAGAGACTATGATCACGAGCGGGACAGGCATGATGAAAGGGACAGAAAGTATGATCATGGAGAGACCGAGGAAGACCAGGTATGGTATGAACAGTCTAATCATGGACATAAACATTCAAAAGGGGAGCACGACCATGGACATTATGACTATTATGATCATCATAAAGATCATGGTGAGTATGATAATCCAGATGGGCAGGGATATGATGAGAGCTATAAAGACTGACCGTGATAATGTTTGATATGATCAAACGGAGTAGGATAATTATGTTTATGACCACGCAACCTCTGAATCATCACAAAGGGATCGTGATTATCACCACTCGGGTCTCTCTGGTGAATACAAGTACTAATTATGTAGACTTGTCAAAATGATATTTGCAGTGAATATTGCTGCTGTTGATGTTTGCGGAATGTGATTAATGGCCCAAGCAAGCTTAAGGAAGTTGTTAATCATGAAATAGACTTGGTTTTCATTTGTGTTATTTCCTGTTCTTAGGACCCCATGGAGGTTTACTGGTTTGTGCTTTGATGATTGCTCACCAATTTTGGATGTGTTTAAAAACTTTATTATTTCTTTTCAATATCAATCTGCTGATTTTTAAAACTTCTTGTGTTCGGTCAGGTCAGGTGTGCGTGTGTGTTCTTTCTTTCTTTTAGAAATCCTCTCCTTATTTTTGTAACATGGTATCTGAACTAGTACGATAAATGATTTATAGGGTTTTGTATTCTCTTTTTTACAAGACAACTTAACACATCATATTTAGAAAGTCTCCCTTTACTTTTGTAACATGGTATTTGAATCAGTACGATAAGTGATTTTTTTTTTTTGCTTCTGCTGTCGTCACTCGTCACCAACCACCCACATAGGGAGGAGTGCTGCTGTCAGTCGACCTTTATAGAGAATTACGGAGTTATAGTTATAATGCGCATTACGCGCACACACGAAATGAAATTAGTTTCCAAGTTGGTAAAGAGTGTACACAAAGTGCAGGAATTTCAATGTTATTTGAGTAGCCTTCTGTGCTTTAAATAAGACACTACTAAGAGTAATTTTTCAATCAGATGAGTTCAGAATGCCAAGGAAGCCTCTCGAAGAGAATTGTTTCATTCTTTATCGTAGGTCAGCTATGATGTACAATTAATCAATTACAGTATCGTGCTCAATTTCCTAATAACTTTTAGAACCAATATGACTATCATGACTGGAAATTGACTAACCAAACCAAAAAATAACTAAAGGATTCCAGGCACCTTGTTCACAACTCCTGAAGGGAAAAAAAAGAAGAAGTCAGGAGCTAAGAATACTAGTAACTGAGTCTCTGTTTGAATATAAGCAATCAAGGTACCTTGCCCTCTGTGAAATGGGGTAGCTTCATGTATTTGATATCAATGTTTATATTTCCCAAATCATTAAACTTCAGGAATTGAGAATTTCCCGACTCTGCTTGATAGCATATATTGCAGATCCACTATAGTCAAGACCTTTGGGATAGACAAGCCCCCTGAGATGACAATCTCTGCAATATTTAGGAACTCAAACAGATTAGCATCATTAGAGAACATAAATTATGAGCATATTTGCATGTAAATTGTAATGACTATGAGCTTTGATCTTAGCCGTTTACCTATTGCTTCCCGTACAGAGAGATTAGGCCTCATGATGTTGTTGGAATTGACAAGGAAGATATCACCAAGGTAAAGGTGATTAGTTGGGACATAAACGCAGCAAAGTTCCTCTGCTCCTGAACTCTTCTGTAGCATCAAAGTTGATGTGATGAAGCCTAATGCATATTCTCCAACTCGGGGGTGCTTTATTATAGCCACTTCTTTGAAGGCATTTGTATTCTGATCTGGACAAGTGATGTCCAGCGTTTAATCTACTAAACACATGAGTTAATGGAAATTCATAGGTTTTACCTGGTGATATTGCTCCACTGATTTGTTTTGAAGCAGAGTAAACGTAACTGACGAGTGGCATCTTTTTAATCATCCATTCTCCTATTCCAAGAAGAGAGGTACCTAACCATGAGGACATAAACACCCCAACCAAAAAGATGAAACTGATGGATGTCACGAATCCAAGACCTGTGAAATGCTACAAATGTTAGATGTATAAACTTGTTCTTTCCAAAGTAATGACAGTGTATGGCAATATTTCGCATTGAAAACAATGAAAAGATTCAGCTAATCAGCTTGACCCAACAAACACATGTATAACATTGTCCGTCCTGGAAAAATTACATGCCTTTAACAGTGTATTCAGCAAACGTATGCATAACTCATCATTATGCAGTGCCTTTCCTTAGCAAAAATCAATACGATCCTCTGTTCCTAAAGTTCTCGTGTGTGCACATACTGGTATTGAATATTGAGCATTTTATGAGATGAACTAGATTGGAACTTCATACCAGTCAAACTGATCTATTGCAATGTTTCTCAAGAATACTAAAAGGTATGAAGTTAAATATTAAGAGTCCCATACTGAACAACAATTAAACACCACATAAACATGTACAAATGAAGCTTTATACTAACCGAACACATTGATTCCCAGGTGAGTGTAGATTGGAGAGAAGAAGCTATCCACAAAATAAATGAACCACCATGTGATGTAGAAGGTTATGGCTATGGGAAACAAGATGACACTGCAAAACAATGTTAGAAGCCTATCACTTGTGGAGAGAGCCAAAGTCCCAAAAGGTACTTTTCGAAAATGATGTAAAGTAGTACCGAGTATACCACGTGAAATCATTATTAACAAAGGCATAGTATGACCATGATGGAAAATTATTCACTATTTATGAAGATATAGTCTAATGGTGCAATAGAAAGTAAAGAAAACATACACATGAAAATGGTGCTTTTGTGAATGCACAAAGTTAGGACTACAAGTTAAAGAGCCAATTTTCGCAATTTATCAAGCATTCACAAAGTTAAGATCATTAGAATTTGAATGAACATTCATGTTGTGTATCAGATGAAAATCCATGATAGTATGGTCCATAATCAGTAAGTCACCAATAATTCTTTTGAGAAAGATAGTGAAATTGACTGCTTTGATCATGAAACTGAAATCCTATGAATATTAACTGCATATCCAGTATCCATCAGCTCTACATGATTAAATTGATAGGTTATCCTGAAATTCTCCTTTGATTTGGACAAACAACTGAACAGGGAATGCCATGCAGAATCATGGAAACACGTAGACAGCATCAGATCTCACAAAATTACTCCAAAATTGAGACATACATTCTCATCGATCAGTTACCATGTAATTAAACAATCGGTTTGATAGTGAAGCTAGGAGAGAAGAGTAGATCATGACGTATATGAGTAGAACAGAAGAATACTAACCATCCAGTCATAAATTTTTTCCAAGCCCAGCTACGAATCACTTTGCTAAATGCCTGCAGAGAATGAAAATATCTAAAATGAAAAGCCGTTTCAAGGTAGTGGTTTCCGTGTTCTTCTTCGACTCAAATCGATAAATTCTCGACATCCGTAACATGAAAGCTAAAGCTCCACGTTGTTCAGTGATAACAAAAGGAAAGAAAGAAATCACACATTGCATCTCAATTCATCGCCTGATCGAGTGGTGAGAGATAGAGAAGAGACGACAAACCTCCCTGCCGGCGGAGTGAGAGGAAGAAGCAGCAGGGGAATCAGAAAACTTGGCGGAAGGCGGAGTATCTAAGTCGGAGCCGGCCACCGGGATGAGGCATTCGAGCTCTCTTTCATTTTCCGATCTCGTTCCCATTTCTCTCTTCTCTCTTCCCGCGATCCACCGCTAACGACAACCTCTACGTCAATCCCACTCCTCCGAAGTACCCGCGCTCAGCCACAGCACTGCCTTACTGCCAACTGCCAAGGTTCATTCATCAAATAAATGATTTTTTTTTTCTCTTTTCAATATGGGGTAATATACAAATGTTTATTGCTTGATGTAACAAACGACTAACAAATACAGTATAAAATGTTATTTCCACTTTTAAAATCAATATCTAATATATATATATTTTTTTAGAGTAAATACCCAAAATGGTCCCTCGACTATAGCTAAATTCACAAATTGGTCCTCGACTTTCAATTTCAACCAATTAAGTCTTTAACTTTGCAATTTTGACATGATTTGGTCATCTATCTATTTGACCGTTTGTTGACCACGATCTTTGAGGATATATATGTAGTTTCACGTGCAAAGCTCAAGAGAACGCTCTTGGAGGTGACATCGTTATTTCGGAGGGGGAAGTGCTTCTCCGCTTGCTGCTTGGGGATCACGAGCCGGTTCACCTTAGAGAACGCTCTTGGAGGTGACAGCGCCGTTTCGGAGGGGGGAAGTGTTTCTCCGCTTGCTGCTTGGGGATCCCGAGCCGATTCAGCTTGCCTACATCTCTTGGAGTCACGGCTTTCTCGAAGAGCCACTCCAGGGACTTCGGCGATCTATCTATCAAAAGCTATAATCTCTCCGGCATGGGGTGCAGCGCCGATAGTGGATTCAAATGTAACAGTGCGGTCTAGAAATGCAACCGGAACCTTAAAAAAACGACGATGGACCATGAAATTACATATATATCCTAAAAAAAGCACAGTCAACAAACGGTCAAATAGACAAAAGACCAAATTGTGTTAAAATTGCAAAGTTAAGGACTTAATTGGTTGAAATTAAAAGTGGAGGATCAATTTGTGAATTTAGCTATAGTCGAGGGACCATTTTGGGTATTTACTCTTTTTTTTTTTTTTTTTTTTTTTTTTTTTTTATCACAAATTTTCAGTTTTGTCAAACTATATATTAAATCCATGAATCTGCATTCAAATCTATGAAAAAAGTAAATCGAGCTTTTGGGAGAAGAGGTGAATCGAGCTAATCTAATTTTGAGACTCAACATTAAATATAAAGGGGTGTTTGGTAAATAAATGTTAGCTGATAGCTGTTCGCTAATTAGGTTAGTGAATTTGACTAGTTGATATCATTAGTTAATTGTATAAAGATGCTTGGTAAATTAACTGTTAGCCGATAGTTAATTACATACAAAATGACTTTCTCAAAAAACTGATCGAAAAAACTATTTTGAACAGTTTTTTGAATTTTACAGGGCGTTTGGTTGGAGAGGGGGAATTACGTGGGAAATGAATTGCAATTTCATGGGAGATGAATTACTGGGAATAAAGTGGGAATTTAAATTCCAGTGTTTGGTTTACAGGAATAGAATTACTGGGAATTTCAATTCCAATGTTTGGTATACATGGGAATTGAAAGGGAATAAGTAGTATAAAGTCAAAAATGTCCATCTTTGTTGTTAAGCATTAATTTTAGGTTAAAAAGGAAGGGGTAATTTTGACTCATCACTATCTTTTTTTTCTTCCTAAAATCGCAGGGGGACATGGGATTTTAATTCCATGAAAATGGAGGAATTGTAATTCCATGGAATTGCAATTCCTTTCAACCAAACAAGGGAATTTTGTGGCCTTTGAAATTAGGTGGGAATTAAGTGAGAAGGGAATTTAAATTCCCTTCAACCAAACACCTTGTTAGTGTTTTGGAACAATAAGCTATTACAAAAAGCTAATTAATCAAACCTGATTGTTTAACCAAGTCAAACAAC